AATTTAACAGAGGCTCGGTTATGGGCTGATTTTGCAGTACTTCGTGCAAGATGAAGTACGCTCCGAGATGTGTCTTTCTTGTTAGTGCAGTAACGAAAATGATGTCTAAGATTACGTTTTGTGTAGAAACCCTTACATTTAGGACAAGGTAAGAAATTGGATCCATTCTGCATTGTTCTATTATTCGGCCTTCTTACAACATTCATAAAACCATTATTTAAATCTGCATTTGTATTAAATTCAAAATTTCCTTTCTTTCTGATATTACCTATCATTGTTTTTCTTTCGTGAGAACCTTTAGGCAATAACAAAAATTTTATTACTGCTTCTTCTTTACTATGCTTTAATTCTAAATGGCGTGCAATTTTAGTCTGCATTGTATTGCAATAAACACAAAAATTGGACTTTTTGTCTCCTTTTCGCCCTTGAGACATTTCTACAAATAAATCTTCAGTCTTATAATAATTGGTTACCTTCGATCTAACGAAGTCTTTTTTTAATGATATCTTTGATTGAGTTTTGGATAATTTATATTTACGCGTTGATACATTTGAACAGTTTAATACTGATTCATTTTGTAAGGAAGAATTATTTTCCGACTTGTCAAAATATATAATTTCTGAAGATTCGTTATTTTTACTATTATTGCTTTCATTACTTCCGTTCATTACTTCATTTAATTCTTCATTCTCAAAATCGGATATAAAATCGGAATCAGTCGATTCTTCATCCTGAAGAGATGGTATGAAAACAGAATCATCATCATCATCATCTACATTATCATTATTATCAACGTTATCTTTGTTGAAATCTAAAAATAAGAAAAACTTTATATTGTATCTTTATGAGAATAAATGCAATTTATATTTACGAATTATTCACACACACGCACACGCACACGCACACGCACACACACACACATTATATAATGCTACATAGAAATAAAATACATACTTATGTTTAAATATGTACATATAATATTTAAGAAAAAAATGTTAAAATCAGACAATATCCAACTTCAACTCCGAAGCTGAAACCATCGACGTAAAAAATTCAATCAATGTATATAAGATTTCGGATACTGTAAAGTGGTATACGCGTCGGCATATCTCACCTCATCATTCGACCATTGTGCGGCATTTGGACTGCGCGCGGAGCAGTGAGGTGAGGGAGATAGCGGAAGGCGGAGGCGATTCGAAAATCGACCGAAAGTTGCTTACACTTTATGTATATTCATTTTGAACTGGCACCTTTAATTAATAATATATCAGTTACTTTTCATAGTAATATATTATTATTAAATAAAAAAGTTTAAATTTTCGAGGATTTTTTGTTGAACATGGCTTGACCTCTTCATTTTTATGATATGATTTTTTTAGGATATCACTTACTTTTTAGAATACAGATATATCACAAATACATTAAAAAAATGATTTTAAAAAATATTATGTAACGAAAGAGAGTGAAATAAACACTTTACAGTGCCCGAAATTTTACGCATATTAAATTATTCGCGTCGGTAGCCTTGCGTTTTAACACCGCAGAGCTAAAGTTAGATACTTGAATAATGTAACATATAAAAGCAATAAAAAGTTTAACATACTTCCTTTGTCCAATTTAAAAAAATGTCTATTATAAATTGTTAGAACAAAATTATACTACTATTACGTATTACAATTAGAGTACCATTTGTGACAGATGCAACAGATGATTTCGTTGCTATTAATGTATTTGAAGAATTAAACTCCTTCCTAGTTGAGTCTGTAATAGATAATGAATCAAGACTTCTTTTTGAAACAGATGTACTCGACAAATCATTGTTCAAAGAATTTAAATTTTTGTGCAAAATATCAATTTTGAATTTGCATATTTCATTTTTAATTATTTTAGGTTTTCTCAGTTTCTTTTGTTCGATTTCGTTAAATTCGACAGCACCTATCTCATCGTCGTTTATATCACTACTAATCTTAGAATCCAATAAGAAAGATGATTGCAATGTGCTAGCTTTTAAAGCACAATCCGGAACATAATTTTGAACTAACACATCAGTTGGTGTGTCATTTCTTTCTGTAATTTTAATATATTTATATCTCATTAAAATACAATTTGAAAAATGTCTATTTTACAAAGTACTCATAAATAAAACTCTAGATGTCTAAACAATAAAAAGAATTAAGTGAAGGGCAATTCGAGAGATATCAATAAATGTTAATCATAAAAATAAAAAGTTCAAGCCATGTTCAAAAAGAATACTCAAAAATTTAAACCTTTTTATCTAATGATGATATATTATCATTAAAAGTAACTGATATATTATTAATGAAAGGTGCCAGTACAAAGTGAACATACATAAAGTGTACGTAACTTTTGGCCAAAGCGCAGATCAAATGTCGCTCCAGCATCGTGCTTTAGATTAATATAAAATCTCGACTTAACATCTAACACAGGCGTATAAGGTAGGCTTCCATTACAATGATTTACTGATGAGTCCAGTAGTGGAAGCCGGGACGAAACGCCAAAAACTATGTGATATTTTTCGCAATATAAAGAATAAATTAAAGATCTAATTATTTATGGAATTTTAATTTATCATATTCATATTTAATTGTATAATAATTAATCAAGTAAAAATTGGTGATATTACTACTGTAGTATTTATGCGTTATGTCTGAAAGTTATCAGCGCGTAATTAAGGGGGGACGACACATGTAGTAGATATATAAAAATTACGCATAATATTATAATAAGCACTTTGTTCCAACATTGACCGTTATAGGCTTCTTTCTTTGTTTATATATTCTTTACATTCTAATTTTTTATTAAGAATTATATTCTAATTTTTATATGTAACTGTTATCTTATTTACATTTATCGATATCTGTCGAATTAACCATCACTTAATCCTTTTTATTGTTTTGACATCGAGAGCTTTATTTCCCAATTTTTTTAATATACGCGGGCAGACAAAATACGTTCCACAGTTTATATTTTAATGGGCATCAAGCTGTCAAAGTCTTAAAAACTTGGATTAAATATCGCAGGAACATTATTAACAATTATTTACACACTCGATTTATGTATGAGTACTATCTGGAGTATCGAGTCGACCAACATTCGATTTACCAATCTTCTGTCAGTAAGTTCGTTCTCATAGATAGTTTGTTTAATATCACAGTACACGAAAACATAATATTCGACTGTTTCTGCGATGCACTTGCTTTTTCTGAAGAAGGTTCAATCCAAGAGCCGAAACATATTGTATGCGATTGATTTTGATTTAATTATATTCTAATTTTTATTATATATGAAATTGTTATTTTATTTACACTTATCGATATTTCTCGAATTTCCCTTCACTTCCTTTTTGTTTCTATTTTACATTTTCTAATTTACATTATTTGTAAAAATATTTTATCTAATGTGTAAATTAATAAATTTATTGAATCATCATATCCTTCTTATATTCTCTTACCTTGATCGGCGTTCAATATAATATTATAATTACTATCAGTATTTTGATATATAGTATTTGAATGTTTCATAAGGGTGGCCACTTTATTTTTCGAACATGATTCCATATGATTGTTTATATTCAATATTTTTCCTAAAGTAAAATTCTAATATAGATTAAGTATAATATTATATTTCTTTGTAAGGTAAATAATCTCCTTTATGTAATGAGTTGCGGGAGACCGAGATTATTATATTCTCTTACCTGAATCAGAATTTAGCACGATATTACCATCATCACTGTAATGCATAACAGGTGTGTGCATAATATTTCCCAAATATGAATCTATATCATGATTACTTATATGCAATAGTTTTTCTAAATTAGAATTTTGATGTAGTACATCAGGTATAATGTTACATTTTTCTAAAACATAAATATAATATTTTGATAAATATAATTAACAATTTTTTATTACTTTATAATGTTTGTACAGAATCGTCACTAGTAACATAAATTTATCTAATAATTGTAACTTTTCGTACACTTGTAATAAATTTTATATATGCTAAAATATTCCCACTAACATTTATTTAATTATTTATTATGACATTATTCTAATATTCTCTTACCTGAATCAGAATTCTGCATGATATTTCCATCATCACTGTAATGCTTGACAGATGTGTCCATAATATTTTCCAAACATGAATCTATATCATGATTGCTTATATGCAATACTTTTTCTAAATTAGAATTTTGATGTGGTATATCAGATATGTTATATTTTTCTAAAATATAAATATAATATTTCGTTAAACATAATCAACAATTTCTTATTATTTTGCAATAGAGAGCGCACCACTGTAATAATCTAAAACTTATAATAGTAACTATAAGCTCCAGCTCAATCGTTAAAGGCAATTTCTTATTGGTTGTGTTTCTCATGTACGCGGTCCTATAAGATTTAATATTTAAATATTCTTAATTAATGTATTATTTCTTTGCATATTTAAAATTACATTATTTACACAAGCATAGGCGTCGAGTGGCTCACCACTCAGTGTGATTGACTCGCGATCTGTAGACCCGAGTTCAATCCCACCTGCGCCCAAACGCGATTTTTCGCGTTTAATGAGCCAAAAAAATGGCTCCACCTGGTGATCAAAATATCTACGATCATCAGCGCCGTTCGGATTCAGCGTTAAATTGTAGGTCCTATTTAGGTCCTATACATCAGTATAAATCCTGGGGGACATTTGATTGACACCCAAGGATTTAGAAAAATGCGTAGGCTAGCAGTATGACTGAATAACCTACGGAAGCAAGCAGGAGCGACAATGGAACCTCACGGATCTAGGTCGCGCTAGTAGGCTGGTTAAGCCCACCTGCATTAATATACTACTACTACTACTACTAACAAGCATTCTTATTAACATATGCATTTATTTAATTATTATAATATTCTTCTTATATATATTCTCTCACCTGAATCAGAGTTCAATATGACATTAACATTATTATGATTGTCATACTTTACAGGTGTGGTTACAATATTTTTCAAGCATGATTCCATATCATTGGTTACATTCAATATTTTTTCTGATGTGTGACTCTGATATTCTATATCATGTGTAATGTTACAGCTTTCTGTAACATCCATTTAATAAAAATGAATGAGTATATAATTATAATAATAATAAATAATAGTATATAGTTAATAAATATATTATTATAAATAAATACGCAAAACAAAGTATAACAGTAATTAATGTAATTAGATTTCGCTCGTTTTTTGCAATGCAAAACAAAAAAAGGTCTAAATCTAACAGTAATAAGATTGTTTAATTAATAGTTTACAATATTACTAACAAACATCAAATAAAAATATAAAAAATATGTAAAAGTATAAAAATATCGAACATTTCGGAACTCACAGGTTCTTCTTCAGCGATTTATAAAGATGTTTCGATGTCAATGAGATAAAGGTATAATCTTACGATCAAAGTGACATAGTATGTTTACAGGTCTTCAGGAAATACAATTTTGAAATTATTTTATTAAGTTTATAATTAATATTAAACCAATTCTTGAAGATAAACCATGTCTGCTCATAAATAAATCAAAAATATGGTGGTGAATTTGTTGGTTGGACGAAAAATAGTAACGCATTTTGAGACCAGCGTAAAATAGTTAAATTTCACTCGTTTTGTGCACCTGTAAACATCATGGCATTTTTTCGAAACACTTAACTAACAAAATTAAATTTTATCCATGCTTTATACATAATAATTCGTTAAAAAATTTACACAAGAAACTTTTGTCAAACGGCACAATACCACATCATATTACTTTGACCGTAAAATAATGCGTTTATCTCGTTTACATCGAAATATCTTTATGAATCGCTGAAGAACTTGTGAATTTCAAACGTTTTTTCGATGTTTTTATACTTTTACATATTTTTTATATTTTTATTTGATGTTTCTTAATAATATTGTAAACTATTACTTAAAAAATCTTATTACCGCTAGATTTAGACCGTTTTTCTTTATAGTAATTAAAGTATTTGTTAATTAAAGTATTTACTAGTAATGTTAATAACTATTAATAGTTAATAGTAATGTTAATAAGAATTTGTTAATTATATCTATTAATTACTATTATATTCTTTATATTTATTCCACACTGATCATTGAGGAACATTTACATTTGACGCTTTTATTAAAGAGTTAAATAATTAAGTTTAAATAATAACGTAATAAAATGATTTCCAACCATAATTTTACTCAGTTTTAATCAAAGCTATAGAGAATGGACTGCGCAATCCGTATATAAGTAGTATATCAAATATGATCGACAATGATGAAAGAGAGGAACCGTAGAAGACGACTATCTCCCTCTCATTCTCTCTCCCATGACATCATTGAATGAAAAGAGATAGAGATGGCTGTCTTACGGTCTCTTTCTTACTTTTATCAATCATTTTGACACATGAATCGCGCAGTCCATTTTCTATGTCTTTAGTTTCAGTCTTCTAAGCTATGTTCCAAAGTGTCTTCTCCAAGGAAGATTTTACTCTACATACTATGTAGAGTAAAATATAAATATGTAGAGTATATGTAGAGTACTATGTAGAGTAAAATATAAATATGTTTGCAAATCTTTTGTTTTATAATACATATCTAACGCTGCAAATTGTGATTCCGTGTTCTTCCGAGATGCGTATTCTTCTCTTTTTATTAAAATTTTTGGTGATTCTGCATTTAGATTTTTTGCTATATTTGTCAATAATTGCTTGTCGTCTGAAAATAATAGAAGCTTTGCACATATTATGTACTATCTTAATATATAACCTACAATATTTATTGCAAATTAACATGATTAATATTACTTTTGGTAATTATACAGAATCACTCGAGCACCTTAAAAATCGATCAAATTAAGCTTATTCGACGCGTTTTTGCATGAAACGAAAGAATCTGGCAGAAATAAGCGTCGCTCTGCCCTACGAACCGAGATATTTAATGTTAAAGTTGACGACTATTCAGGTTAGGAAATCTGTCTTACCGACTATATGTAGTGCTACGAGTATGCTTTCTTCATGCTCTCTGACCTCGTGCACAAGGGGCGCACAACTTCTACGAGTGTAACTGTCGGGGCAGACCTCTGACGACGGTGTGGGTGCGGGGGGGTGGCCGGAGGCCGAAGGCCGTAGGCCACCCCCTTGCACCCGCCCGTGTGTGTGTGTGTGT